ACCATTTACCTTAAATCGGACGATTATATATATGGAAGCTATATCTAAATCTGAACCGATTTTCACGAAATTTAACACACACCATTCTACTCTTTATTCAGTACTCAATGCAAAATTTCGTGCAAATCGAAAGCTATTTAGGAACTTTGGTGCACCATTTAACTTAAATCGGACGAAAATATATATATGGGAGCTATATCTAAATCTGAACCGATTTTCACGAAATTTAGCACACATCATTCTAGACCTAATTCAGTACCCTATTCCAAATTTCGTGCATATCGAAAGATATATAGCGACATTGGTGGCCCATTTACCTTAAATCGGACGAAAATATATATGGGAGCTATATCTAAATCGGAACTGGTTTTCACGAAACATAGCCCACATCATTGTAGGCTCAATTCAGTACGCTATGCTAAATTTCGTGCTAATCGAAGAATATATAGGGTCTTTGGTGCACCATTTAACTTAAATCGGACGAAAATATATGTGGGAGCTATATCTAAATCTGAACCGATTTTTCCCAATTTTAATAGAGTTCGTCCTTGGGCCAAATAAATGTGATGTGCCAAATTCCATCCAATTCGAATCATAATTGCGACCTGTACTTTGTTTACAATTTAACATGGACAGACAGACGGACGAACGGACACGCATAAATCGAATATTTTTTTTGAAAAATATTTTTTTGAGTTTTTTTGGAGGCTTAGAATCAAAAAAAGGAAATTTCGATGTCCCTAGAAGTCGTGGATTTTCAAAAATATTTTTTCGTATTTTTTTGAAATTAAATGGCAACTCTGTAGCAGCCACCGAACGCCATATGCCACCACCACCACCATCGAACAATGCAATTTGCAAAAAATGCAATTGAAGGGTTTTTTTTAAATACATTTCAAAATCAATTTTCGTTTTAATTCGACGAGGTATGGGTATTGCTTCAGATATTTATTGTCGTCGTCGTTGTTGTATTTTGCTGCATTGTCTTGGATTTCGGTTTTTATTTTTTTAATTTTATGCAAGAAAATCAAGGGGAGCGAAGTGACAGGGGACCGAGCGGTATAAAAAAATTAAAGTCACCCTGGAAAATTGTATTTGTCTGTACGTCTGTACATGTATGCCAGTCGATATAAAGGGGTTATTGTTTTATATCTGCCTATACATGTAGAAAATCTCGATGTTATTGTTGCTGTTGTTGTCGGATTTATGCAAATTGCAGAGCTGAGCAACAACAACTATACAATTGTTTTGGAGGTTATTATTTTAATTTCTAATTAGAGAAACATATTTTGCAAAAGGCTATTCGAAAAAAAGGTCATTGATTTGTAGTAAGATTTGAAAAAAAAAAAATGGGAAGAATATATTTAAAGATTTTTTTCAAGGACAGGCACAGGAGTATGATTTTTTCTAAAACTAATTTGCGGTGATTATAAAAGTCATGGATTTTTCAAAATTATATTTTTTTAGGTCTATAAAAGGCGTGGATTTATTAAAAATATTTGTTCGACGCCTACAGGAGCCATGGATTTTTTGTAAAACGGGACGGTGAGAGACTTAGATTAAAAAAAAAATACATTTTTTGGGGACTGTAAGAGGCGTGTATATATTATATATTATACCCTACACAACTATGTTGTCAGGGTATTATAGCTTTGTGTAGCACCAAGAGTTGGCAACGCCGCGAAATATTGGTCCTAGACCCACCTTTATGTATACCGATGGTCATATCTCGACTAGCTGAGTCGATCCGTCCGTCCGTCTCTCCATTATAATTTGTAAACACGATACAGGCCACAGTTATGGAACAATATTCACGAAATTTTGCATGTAGGATGTGTTCGGGCCAATAAAGACCCCTATTGTTTTCGGTAAAGATCGAATGTAGGAAATATTTAAACATGTATTAACATATTATTTTATTTTCACAGAAAACTGCATATGTCAGAAAAGAATCCACCCATTAATATCGACCATAAATTAAATTTGAGTAACACTTAGTACCAAATTTCATGATTCGCTCTCTAAGTATCCATAAGTACCCTCCTCAACCATCTAACAAAACTTCCTGCAAACCCTGATCCTACGCCCCCACAATGATTCTAAATTCAAATTTCAGGATTCTAACTCTATTGGTTCACCCACAATTCAAATTGTACGAAATTTAATACACAGTAGTACGAATTTCCAAAACTTCCAACTTAACCCAAACCAACACCCCCACATTGATTCCAAATTCAAATTTCAGGATTCCAACTCTATTGGTTCACCCACAATTCAAATTGTACCAAATTTAGTACACAGTAGGACGAATTTTCAAAACCTCCTTCTTACACCAAAATTTCAGGATTCCAACTTTCGCTTCACCCACAGCTTAAATTGTACCAAATTTAGTTCACAGTAGTACGAATTTCAAAAACATCCATCTTAACCCAATCCTGCACCCCACAGTGATCCAAAATCTATGTTTCAGGATTGAAACTCTATCAGTTCACCCACAATTCAAATTGTACCAAATTTAGTACAAAGTAGTACAAATTTTCAGAACCGCTTTCTTACCCCAAACCAACACCCCCACAGTGATACAAAATCCAAGTTTCAAGATCCCAACACTATCGGTTCACCCACAATACAAATTGTTCAAAATTTAGTACACAATAGTACCATTTTCCAAAACTTCCTACATACTTCAACCCTAAACGCCCACAGTGATCCTAAATCCAAATTTCAGGATTCTAACTCTATCGCTTCATCCATAACTTAAATTGTACCAAATTTGGTACACATTAACACAATTTTCTAAAACTTCCTACATATCTCAATCTTAAACCTCAGCAATGATTCTGACTCCAAATTTCATGATTCTAGCTCTATTAGTTCACCTAAAAGTCAAATTGTACCAAATTTAGTACCATTTAGTACCACCGATAAGTAATAATTCCTTAAATTGAGTCCTAAAACCCAATCCTACACCTCTACAATGATCCTAACATCAAATTCCATTGTTCGCACTCTATCGGTTTACCCAAATCCAAATTGTACCAATAATAGTACGATTTAGTACTTTTCGTACACATAAATAAAAGAGTTCCAAAACTACGTACATATTCCAATTCTACATTTCGACTGTAATGTTACATTCAAATTTCAGGATTCCAGCTCGATTTGTATCTCCAAATTCCAACTCTATTGGTTCACTCACAATTCAAATGGTACCAAATTTTGTACCCATTAGTACAAATGTCTTCATACATATCTCAATCTTACACCTCAACAGTGATCCTGACTACAAATTTCATTATTCCTAGCTCTATTGGTTCGCCTAAAATTCAAATTGTACCAAATTTAGTACCATTTAGTACCCATAAATAATAATTTCTTAAATTGAATTCTGACCCCATACAGTGATCCTGACACCAAATTCCATTGTTCCCGCTCCACCGGTTCACCCAAATCCAAATTGTACCAATTATAGTACGATTTCGTACTTTTCGTACTTATATGTAAAAAAGCTCCAAACTACGTACATATTCCAATCCTACATTCCGACTGTATTGTTAATTTCATATTTCAGGATTCCAGCTCGATTTGTATCTACAAATTAAATATGTGTACCAAATATAGTACCATATAGTACTTTTCGTACACATGAGTACACGCTTTCAAAACCATCTCCTTAAATAGACCCTATATCTCAACACAAATTCGTATTCCAAATTTCAAGTTTTTACCGCTATCCGTTCAAATGCTACAGAATTGTACCAAATTTAGTACATTTTCGTACTTTTCGGATTGTTATAGTTCGGAATTTCGAAAAAACACATTCCGACTGTAATGTTAATTTCAATTTTCAGGATTCCAGTTCGATTTGTATCTCCAAATTAAATGTGTACCAAATATAGTACCATATAGTAACTTTTCGTATACATGAGTACACGACGCTTGCAAAACCATCTCCTTAAATAGATTCTACATATCAACCCTAATTCGCATTCCAAATTTCAAGTTTTTAGCTCTATCCAATCACATGCTACAGAATTGTACCAAATTAAGTACATTTTGGTACTTTTCGGATAGTTATAGTTCGAATTTCCAAAAAAAAACCCTTTGGTACATCTATCCTACCCTCCATCAGCGACCTCCAATCCAAATTTAATTTCTAGCTCTACCGGTTCGCCAAATACAAATGGTATCACATTTAGTACTTGTTTAGTACTTTTCGTACCGTTCTAGTACGAATTTCCAAAAACCCAGCCTTATCAGTCACCTTTGGACCAAGAGTGACGCTCACCCAAAATTTCAAGATTCTAGCTTCAGCCGTTTCGTCTGGGCGTTGACGAATCGTTAAATCAGTCTCTGTTGTAATCATTTCGCCTGCGGAGGATATCGAGATAAATAAGTAGAACGTAAGTTTCGATATATGAACTATAGCCCGCATTTAGGCCTAGCCCCTGTGTGGGAGATTCTAGAAGGAGTGGATCGATATTCCCCATCTTCGAACTTGAACTAAGTTTGGAAGAAATAATAAAATGGGCAAAGTTTGAATGAAATCTAAATTTTCTGAAACTGGACTATTACCTTGCGCCGATTTTTACCAACAAATATATTTTTTAAATATTTTTTTTTTAATTTTTTATTAATAATTTTTTTTTATTTCTTTCAGAACATATTATTGAATTAAAACAACAACAACAAAACTGAATTAAAATTTATATACAAAAAATTGGAAATTTTGTATCGAAAGAAAAAATTTGCATAACAGCACCAGCGCCTACAACTATTATTTCACTAGGCAAAGTGACTACACCCGAACGTGCGCTGTAGAGCAGACAACAATTTAGCAGCTCAGCATCGTCATTATATCAAACAAATACTACTATTTCGATCAATTAAATAGTAGAAAAAAAGAACAACAAGAAGAAGAGCTACAACAACAACGTGACGCCAATTTAAGGCAAAGCAACAACAACCAGCAAACCAACAAACCCCCCCATAACAACAATTACAACAAAATACGAGCAACAAAAAGAAAAACAACGGCAACAAAATGGCTCAACGAAGTCATCAATATTTTAGTTTACGATGGAACAACTATCAGAACACCATGACTTCGGTGTTCCAACAGTTGCGCGAGGATCTATCGTTTGTCGATGTCACCCTCTCCTGTGAACATGGTTCACTCAAGGCCCACAAGGTATGTGCACTTGAATACAATTGGGGTTTACTCATATTAATGCATATTTTCGATTTTCTCTTCCAGGTGGTCCTATCCGCTTGTTCATCATATTTTCAAAAGCTTCTCCTTGAGAATCCCTGCAAACATCCAACGATTATATTGCCGGGCGATATTATATTCACAGATTTGAAAACCATCATTGATTTTGTATATCGCGGTGAAATTGATGTTACCGAATCTGAATTACAGGTAAGTTGATTAGAAAATTAGTTAAAAATTAAGAATATTCAAATTTGGAACCTTAAATAGCAAATAAATCTAGTCATATTAGCGGCCTGTAAGAGGCGAGGATTTTTTAAAAAAATTTTAAATTTTAAGGAGATTGAGATTTTTTAAATATTTTTTTTTCAAGGACTATAAGTAGGAGGCTTGGATTTTTTAAATATTTTTTAAGGTCTATAGGAGCCCTGTCATCCTATTGGACTAATCATTCTAGTTCCTTCCCCCTAAAATGTTTAGAGGACTATAAGGAGGAGATTGAGATTTATTTTAATATTTTTTTTTCAAGGACTATAAGTAGGAGGCTTGGATTTTTTAAGGTCTATAGGAGCCCTATCATCCTATTGGACTAATCAGTCTAGTACCTTCCCTGTAAAAAGTATTAAAAAGTGTAAACCTCGTATTTAGAGAACAAAAATTTAAATTCAATATTCAGCGAACTAGACATATCGATCATAATAATTTACTAGACCTCTATACAGTTTGAAGATGGGGCCAACGGGTGCACCCTGCCCCACATAATATTGGGACTTGATCTAAGATTGCTAAAAAAGTTCTACCCAATGTACCAAATTTCGGCGAATTCTATTGAAAAACGAGTTTAAGAACCGCAAAATACTGAAAATTGGTGGGTACCGATATATATGGGGGTTACCGGAATAAGTGGACCTACATTTATGGTTTTTAGTGGAGACTTTTGGTACTCAATAAGAACCCAATGTACCAAACTTCAGTGAATTCGATTGAAAAACGAGCGAGAAATTTGGGGATACCGTTATATGGGGGCTACAAGAAAAAGTGGACCGATATTTATGATTTGTAGTGGAGACTTTTGGTACTCAATAAGAACCAAATGCAGGGTACCAGAAAAGTGGACCGATATTTATAATTTTTAGTGGAGACCTTTAGAACTCAATAAGAAACCTATGTACCAAATTTCAGCCAATTCGATTGAAAAACTCGCTCAAGAACCCCCAAAATATCGAAAATTGTGTGGTACCGTTATATGGGGGCTACCAGAATAAGTGGACCGATATTAATAATTTTTTGTGTAGACCTTTAGTACTCAATAAGAACCCACGCTTAAGAATCCTTAAATATCGAAAATTGGCGAGTATCACTATATGGGGGCTACCAGAATAAGTGGATCGATATTTATAATTTTTAGTGGAGATCTTTAGTATTCAATAAGAACCCAATGTAGTAAATTTCAACGAATTCGGCTGAAAACGCGCTCAAGAACCTCAAAATACCGAAAATTGGGTGGTTCACTTATATGACAGCTACCAGAAAATGTGGACCGATATTTATAATTTTTAGTGGGGAGATTTGATACCCAATAATAACCCAACGTACCAAATTTCAGCGTATTCGGTTGGAAAACGCGCTCAAGAACCTCAAAATACCGAAAATTGGCGTGTACCGTTATATGGGTTCTACCGGAAAAAAAGTGGAACTATATATATTGTTTTTAGTGGAGAGATGGAGAGATTTGTTACCCAATAAGAACCCAATGCACCAAACTTCAACGAATTCGGTTAAAAAACACGCTCAAGAACCCCATAAAACGAAAATTGGGCGATACCTTTATAGGGTACCAGTAAAAGTGGACCGATATTGATAATTTTTTGTGGAGACATTTGGAACTCAATAAGAACCCATTGTACCAAATTTCAGCGAATTCGGTTGAAAATGCGCTTAGGAATCTCAAAATATAGAAAATGGGAGGGCACCCTTATAAGGAGGTATAGCTAACATGGACTGATATAGCCCATCTTCGAACTTCACCTGCCTTCAGACAAGAGATGACTCTATGCAAAATTTTGGCAATTCAATTCAATTCGTTTAGAGGCTAGAGAGATTACAACAGACAGGCGGACATACGGACATGCTTAGATCGTCATAGAATTTTACGCCGATCAAGAATATATTAGGTTGGGGAAAAAGAAATCCATGATTTTTATATGAACCTATTGGTTTTCATTTAACATGCTTCGGAATGTCGGATTTGCGCCAAATATGCACAGTTCTGTTGTATGATTTGTTGATAACTTCATAATGCCTGCTCTCTATTTGCAAACAATTCTAGTAGTCGATTTTCACAATCCTCCCTAGATACCAATTTTTTATCATTAAAAAAATGTAATGCAAGAAAAAGATATGATAATCGATGGTGCCAAATCCGGACTGTATGGCGGTTGCATTAAAATGTCCCAACCAAGCTCTCGAAATTCCTGGTGGAACATGACACCTCTCCTATTAGCCAATTCCGTCCGTTTCTGGACTGTTTGAAGATAGCAATTGACCAACTTCAAACAGTAGAGATCAGAATTTAGCGTTTGGCCATATGGAACAGGGATGGCCCGTGTGACGATTTTTTTGGTTTTCGACTGTCAAAAAGGTGTAAACGTCGAAAACGTCATATACCTGTATAAAATGTAATAAATGTAGTAAACGTCATTTATTTCAATATTATGAGCATATACAGTTATTTTCAAGAATACATATTATTTTTACATATATCTCACTATACCTTGCTAGAACTGTAAAAATTACTAATTTTTTTTTTTAGAAGAAAATTTTGAAATTTTATATTAATTTGAGTTAAGCATGCGTATTATCCAGATTGATTAATGGAAATTGCTATTTTGTCAAAAACCTAATGGATTTGGGTAGGTTTCCGACGTTTCTGACGTATGTATTATACGTCGGAAATGTATGTCATTTACGTCACTGTTTCTGACAGGCCATCTCTGATATGGAAGCAACTCATAATAAATAATCTCCTTCCAGTTCCACCAAATGCATAGCAGAACCTTCCTGGCCGTTAGTCCTAGTTTGGGCCATTGTTTGAGGTTTTTCACCGCTCTTTGACCACGATCGTTTTCGCACAGGGTTATCGTAGTAAGTGATCCATTTCTCATCCCCATCCGTCACCATCCGTTTAAGAAATGGGTTTATCTCATTCCGTTTGGCCAAGGCGGCTTCGCAGATGGAAATTCGATCCAACCAATTTTTCTGTTAATTGGTGTGGCACCCAGATATCGAACTTCTTTTTGAATCCAGCTTTGTGTAAATGGTTTAAAACAGTTTTATGGTCGATTTTTAGATTCTGAGCGATGTTACGACTGCTAACATGCCCCGTTAACTTCGATCCTTTCACCGATTTTATCGGCATTTTTTCGAAGACCTGTCCGAGGTGCATCTTTAACAACAAAAATTCCTGAACGGAATCTACGAAACCAAAATTGCACATAATTGCCTGTTACAGTATCGGAATCATAATCACCATTTACAATTTTAGCCGCTTGGCTTGCATTTTCGCCTTTATCAAACTGTAAAATGAATCGAATTGTTCACTTTCCCACCTAATATATACTTAATAGGGTCAGAAATGATTATTTCGATTAGTTAGAAACGGAAAAACAAAATGTATATACCCTCCATGCTATGGTGGAGGGTATAAAAATGTCCAAGGACTCGATATGTTTCACAAAAATATTCCTCATTCGATTTATTCCTCATTCCCAAAATTATTCTACAATAGCCCCAACCAAACAAACATATAAAGCGTTTTCTTCTAAAATTTAATTTAGACATAGCTCCATAGCTTGACCTATGGCGAATTTGTCCTTCTGGGTTCTTAATATAGGTAGACTAGCAAAAGGGATTTCATCCACATAAGGAATTTTCGATTCTCCAGACCATGATGCTATTAAAACATCATTTACAACCATATGATGACGACCTGTCTGTGTAATCACGGCCTCTGTCATACGCTCAACTCTGTGAATTAAAGGCGGGCTTATTTTATTGCAGTTAACAGTCTGTAGTGAATGTTGTCTTTATGTTGGTGGTGGAATTTGCTAAAAATAAACAGTTGATGGTTTAGAACTTGGCTACCATGTTAACTAACCACATGTGGTGAAATTACGTTTTTACGATGATGCACAAAAATGATGTTTTTTGTGGTCACCCTGTTATAACACACAATCCTTTCTTTAAGTAACAGGGTGACATAGACTAACATCACTGTTAGCATACATTACAGAGATGGGGTTCTGACTGTTTAATTTTAAAAAATGAAATGTACCATAACCTACAGTTCAGAAGTGCCTAGAATATATATTCCTAAGGAAGGCAAGGGGAGGAGGATATTCCTAAAAATACTGAAGTTTTTTTTTCTATACGACCAGAAGGTCTTCTCATAGGCGAACAGAATTTATTTTCGTAGAAGGTTTAGAAGGTATTTTTTATAGAAGACCGGGAGATATTCATGTAGAAGATCAGAAGGTCCGCCTATATAAGACCAGAAGAACTTCTCATTTTCATACGTTTATGTAGAGGACGAGAAAGACTCGTAGAAGACCAAATAGGTTCTCTTATAGGAGACCATAAGGTAGAAGGAATTATCATAGGGGACCAGAAGGTCTTCTCATTTTCATACGTTTATGTAGAGGACGAGAAAGTCTCATAGGTCCTCTTTAGAGACCATAAGGTAGAAGGAGTTCTCATAGGGTACCAGAAGGTCTTATACCTATCTTGGATCTTCTCATAGCAGATCAGGAAGTCTCCCTATAAGACCAGAAGAACTTCTCATTTTCATACATTTATGTAGAGGACGAGAAAATCTCGTAGAAGACCAAATAGGTCCTCTTATAGGTGGCCATAAGGTAGAAGGAGTTCTCATAATATCTATCTTGAGTCTTCTCACAACAGATCAGGAGGTCTCCCTATAAGACCAGAAGAAATTCTCATTTTCATACATTTATGTAGAGGACGAGAAAGTCTCGTAGAAGACCAAATAGGTTCTCTTATAGGAGACCATAAGGTAGAAGGAATTATCATAGGGGACCAGAAGGTCTTCTCATTTTCATACGTTTATGTAGAGGACGAGAAAGTCTCGTAGAAGACCAAATAGGTCCTCTTATAGGAGAACATAAGGTAGAATGAGTTCTCATAGGGGACCA